ATGCTTCTTCAAAGATGTCCCCACTTTTGTTGGATCAAAGCTTCTGGAGAGACGGGCCACGACTCACGAGCGTGGGCAGAAATATGATGATACTTTACAATCAGACAAAATTTGTTCGTCTCATAACGCTGTACTGTGATCTGAACATGTCGCCGCGTCATTTTGAGCGCAATTGAAGCGAGCTTCGAACGAAATGTTCGTCGCATGTAACGGTCTAACAAAGACAGTTCAGTAACCATCTCGGCACAAAGAGTCGAATTATAGAGCGAGTTGCAGTGACTAAGCGGAACTACGCACCACGTCAAGGCAGAATAATTGAGCGCGCGCAACCCTGTCTCAAATCAAGTGCCACTGCCTCTGTCAATGACTCCACTGTATCCACAGGCGTTAGTGGCCGTGTAAGTGTTCCCGACGGCGTGCTATAACCCGCGGGAACCACCAGTTTGCGGGCGGAAGACGTTGTTTATTTGACGTTCCCGCCGACGTGGGAAAAGAGCACAGTAGCTCGATCTCCGACACCAAGATTGGCAGCTCTTCTGACCCATTCCAGAACGTTTTCGGTTGTCGGGTCGCCAGAAGGGTGATATCGTCGCTATGTTAGGGCGTCTCAGACTAGCCTTGGCGATATAGAGTTTCACTGTTAATAACCGCTGGCGGATATTGGAAACATTGAATATATGATTGTGGATTTCCCTCCCGCCGGCTCGGCTTTACGAAAAGAGTGGGAGAGTTTTCGCGCCTGCACATGCGCCGACTTTCGATCAATTGGCCGATGTGTTCGTTTATTCTTCCGTCTGAAGAGAACGTTTCGTGGCTTCTCCGGACACTTTCTTGAGTTCTTTGCTAACAACGTCGGAGATGCAGAGGGGATCTGCGTATCAGGGCTCTGAGCCAAGTTTGAGGTTTGTCAGTCGCGGAGTTGCACATGGAACAGTTTATACTTAGTCTTTGCAACTGCCCACTGGGAGACATACTTTGTTCCATCTCGTCATAAAACTCCGCCTGAACTATCCGGACTGTGACCGGACGGCATCGTGCGGGACCTCAGGCCCCATTGAGAACCCCATCACCAGATTACGCAAGCAATGATCTACGAACGCAACGACGATGCTATTTAGCCAACGAATCCGGGCGCAGAGACTTTGTCTTGGGACCAATATCCCCTTAATATCAGGGGCATCGCCATATTGCGGCTTTGCAACTCCTCCACGTGGCGCGAGGGACTCGGTGCCCAGTTGATGCCGGGAGGTCCGGAGTTTTTAGGACTTTCAGCGAGGCTCTTCGTGGAAACCAGACACTGGCAATCTAACACGACTCGCGCCCGCAGACCTCCGCCGCTGGATTTGTGCGCTGCAAGTTCTCTCCCAGGCTTCTCCCCAGGCTGGCCGACCTGAGCTCCGTGCACCCAACCCCGAACGGGGCGGTGGTTCCGAAACTGAATCAGCGGGAAACTCTATTTGGGTTCTGACGGGGTGTAACCTTGCCGCTCTCTGCGTCTAGGAGAAGAGGACTACAGCTACGGAGCACCAAATCACTGCAAGTTTACCCAGCAGCACGGTTCAGGCTGACGAGGCGCGCCGAGTTACAGATGCCAAGGGGGCATGACACGGAACTTGCAAGTGAACCCCATTCAATCCCAGACAGCACTCAAAAGTTTCTGGAGAGTAAGGGGCAGCGCTAAACGGTGGGCGGAGAGCATGGAAGGAGGTAGCCACTGCGGGATGTCGAAACCCAAAGCCAAATCTCGGAATCGCGTGCCAGACACCCAGAGGAAGGCAGATCAGATCAGACGATGCTGGTCAATTCGTGGGACCGTGGTGGGCATACAAATGGTCAACTGTTCCCACCGTCTTAACTTGTATCCCTTCTTGCTCGGACTTCTGAGTTTCTGTAGATCATCTTTTCACGTTCTTTTCACATTCTTTTCCGTTCGTCTCATCTGGACGCTTTATTTCCAAATCACCACACTCTTTTTTACAAACATACACCCGCTCGTAGCCGGCCTAGGAACAATGTTCGCTTCTACCATCTTTCTCTCCCTCGTCGCCGCCGCCGCGGCCGCTTGCGACGGCACCACCCCCAAGAACAACACCGGCGCCGTCTCCCCCGGTGCCAAGGCCCAGTGCGCCCTCCAGTTCGATGGCCGCATCCCCAAGACCTTCAAGGCTGCCGACTTCGACAGCACCTCCAGTCCTTTCAACACCGCCAACGTGTTCGGCAAGGGCCTGAAGTTCAGTGAGATTGTCCAGCTCCCTGGCGGCAACTCCCTGGTAAGTTTTGACATGAGAGCGAAGCAGTCCGGAACCAGATTGGATTCCCGGATTGTCGTCTACGGAAAGCGTTTGAACTAACACCCTATTCCCCAGTTCGATGTCAACTCCACCCAGCCCTTCGAGGTCACCATCAACGACAAGTCCATCTTCGCCCCCAGCGAGACCAATGTCCAGGTCGGCTTCCGCCGCGCCGAGATGCTGCCCCTCAGCAACGACGGCAAGGACGCCTCGACCCAGGGCATCAAGACGCTGCACTTCTCTCTGCAGAAGGATGCCCAGCGTCCCCTGAACCTGTCCCACGAGTACCAGCTCGTCTTCCTCGAGAGCGCCGACTTCAGCACCAACCAGGTCGTCCTCAAGACCGGTACCATCCTCGGCCAGAACACCGCCGACCCCGATACCCTCCAGCTCTTCGGCAACGTCAACTCCAGCCCCGTCCCCGAGCTCTTCAAGACCAAGTTCACTGCCGGTGTCTTCCACAACTTTGCCATTAAGCTCGACTTCACCAAGAAGTATGTTCTACCTCCCAATTTTGTTCTCTATGCCTGGTCGCTAACATGACTTTCAGCACCACCGAGGTCTTCTACTCCCAGGGCAACTCCGCCCTCAAGTCGACCGGCGCTGCTGTCACCAACAACATTGCCGGCCAGGGCCAGTACCACTTCGGTATGCTCAAGAAGCCCGTCAACGGTGGCTCCGACATCACCAAGAGCGGTGACCAGCCCACCGGCATCAACGAGGGTATCATCTACGGTGGCATCTTCCAGGAGGACAGCTCCGCTGGCTGCATCTCCCTCTCCCCCTAAACCAAACACCACTAGAGGACCAAAACAAGACACGGCGCAACGACGAGGTGGTTCCGGATTGAAGGCTTATTTCTCTTTATTATTAGTACGGTCTTCGCAAAGTTGACTTTCTGGAGGCCTTGCATTCTTCTGAAGAGAAAGGATTCTAAAATACATAACTCTCATAAATGTGATATTACCACTTGACCATCGTGCCGCTACCGCATGGTTTCGTCCAAGTAATCGACCGACTGCAACGCGCTGAACCTAGCAATCTTGGGGAGAGATTTAGATGCAGACGAAAGCTCGAAACGACACTTGGTCACACGACTGTAATATGCAACCACCACCTTGGCAATGTGAACGTCTAGTCCCGTCATTCACACCAACCAATCACCAAACAGATGTTTCAAGCCGCCATGTGTAATAGGCTCGGTTTGAGGATCACGAAGCTGACGCCCAGTCGACGCCTTCGTCTGGGAGTGAACATATTACCGCCTCCGATACGCTTGTAAATCTCAAATGAAGCACTGATACGTCACAGAACCGCAAGCTTTGAATTGCTTCATCCCAGTGGCTGGACGAAGTAGCCGTAGGCATGAGTACATGATACGCTGATGGTCTGCTTACCTCCACGTCCGAAGTCCATCGCGTCACCCCGGTCCAGGATCGCATGTGCTTCGAAGACTTGGTTTGGACGGTGGCTCTTCGTATTCAACCATCGCCAATAGAAATCCTTAGAAACACGGACGAAACCCGTGCGCGCGTGGTCAGGTACTGACTTTGGCACCTCAAGATGTTGAAGTCTTCGCATCAAAGTCAGTAAAAGCCCCGATTTGCCTCAGATCAAGAATGAGGAAATCTCGAGCCAGGCACAAGAAGAATGAGAGGCAAAAGAGACTGAAGGTGAAAACGCCATCGTGAGCGTTGACCTACCTATCGTGCATCGATAAAGAAAGATGGGCTATCTGCTGTGTCACTTGAGACGTATGGCTCGTGCTCCTCGGGCATGAGCGAGAGGTTGTCTCATCGAGGACTCGCACAACCAAAAGGAACTCGACCGTGAGATGTACAAGGCTTTCGAATTCAGTCGACTCACATATCCACTCAACGAGTCGGGCCTCGGGTTCCGCTCCTTCTGGCGACCTTGTCTGGTGGGGACAAGAGCAGGACGACATGGGGCCTGGACCGAGACGTCCTTCGATAGATTGGAGTCAGCACTGTCCAATGTTTTCTCCGTCGGAACTTGTTTATGGGTTGAGCTGGTGACAGGTCGGGGGCTTGGGTCTTCGATAGACGGGATGATAGGGCAGACGCTCGTACTCAGGTGTCGACCCATAGCTATCACCAAGACCTCAAATACTCTCAATAGCATGCTCTCTTGGTTATGAAAAAGGTAAGAACGCGGTATGATACTCACTGCCGACATTCATACTAATAGTCACCATAGTCACTTTCCGTTAGCCAGCCTTCCACGGCGAATATGTTCAGCAACGATTCGCTACACCTGGGGGAGATGCAAAGAGTGTGCTTTTGGAGCTTGCTTGTGGTTTCTTCTCATTTCAAGCACAAGGGGGTTCCCTTTCACTCTCATCAGTCAGCTGCGCCATCTAGATGTTACGTTTGTGCAAATTTCTAGAAACATTAGCAAGCCGCAACGCCAGCCTCACTACGTCCACACAATATCTATCACAGCCATGGACTGAGGCTTTTCAATTCTCAACATGAAGATTACAAGGCGCCTGTCCATACGGAGTACTCCAGCCCCCATTCTAACGTCTTCGGAGTTTGCATAGGCTTGAAAGTGGAAAGACCCACATGTTCACCTTCCGCGGAGCCACAGACACCCATCAAAATTCAAGAAAAATCAAAAACATACAACACCAGGTATTCGCTGGTCGTCACCGACCCAACTACTAATCCGGCCCTCATTGGCTTGTCTATGGGAGAGCGGACGGGATCCCGAATTTTCCAATGGGTATGGTCGTATGTGCTCAAACGAGGCCATCGTGACATCCATGGAGGCATCCAGGACAACACGCAAAACTGCCTCATATGGGGAACCTTTGGCAGCAAATCTAGCATCTTAATCACTCTAGGCTTGCCCAAAGATTATCATTATCTTATTCTGTTGGTTTTGAAATGCAATACAGCGGGAGATTCTTTAGTTGGGGCACGCAGAAAACTTCACAAGTGATACAGCAGCCCGCAAAAAGTTTACAAAGAATACTTTACACTCTCGTCGTATTTTCCAATTGCTGTCAATATTCTTTGAGAACCATAACATATTAAAATGTCGCAGATGGCTATTGAATGATAGAATCAGATTGTTGTAATGTCATCGCTTGATGTACACGCATCCTCAGAAGCTTTCTTCATACGTCAAATGCACGAGACACTGATACGTAACATTCTCTAGTTCCTCGATTCTGGCATCAAAACCTCAGGGTTATGCTATCTGAAATTTCATTTTCCGTAGGAATATCCCGACGTCTAGTACGGAACACACTCGCAGATATTGCCAGGGAGACTTGAGGAGATTGGTAAGCTCATGTTGCCAATGCATGGCCAAGAGCATCGAGTGGACGACTCACCGGCACAACTTGTCCGCAAAGCCACCGCAGTTTTGGATGCAGTCTGCCGTGCTCTGACAAGCCTCTTGTGCTAAAGCTTGTTGCGAGAAGAAGGCCAGGGCGGTCACGGCGACGGAGATGACGTTGAAGCGCATGTTGGGCGAGTTTAATGGATTGTAAGGAGTAGTAGACAGATCTCGGTTGCTTGAGTAAGGAAGAATGGGATCACATATATTCTGGAAGGTGGGCATCTAGTGGCTTTTATACCATCAATCAGGCCAAATTGTGTAAAGTCATATCTCCCCACCTCCGTACGCGTGCGGCTCATCGAACGTCAAAATGGAATATAAATGGGGCCTTCAACGTTGACTTAATCTAAAGTAAGCAGTCAATCATTCCTACTTGAACTTTATTCTGGGCGTATGAGTTAGTTGGTAGGAGCTTTGGTATGATGAGACTTCCTGGCAGACCATGACTTGCGAACTGTAATAGATTTCACAGCCCCATCAATGTCGGGGTTCATGAGCTCGTACCGGAAAGCGAAACCGAGCTTATGACCTGAGTCGTTCATTTGAGCGGGCGTACTCAACTCCCGTAAGGCCCGACTCAGGTTTTCGGTGTCATGAGAGGTGGCCTATTCTCATTCTCTATGACTATGATTATTATTCCTACGTGTCATTAGCTACGTGTAGTCTATGGTGAGCTTCTAATTACGGCGAGGCTGCAGAGGAAGCTGTGCAGGTTACTAATGGCTTATCGGAGGTTTCCATGGATGAAAATACATAGTTTTCTGCTCTCACTTTTGTTTCATTGAGGAAACGTACACCTGATGCCCGGAGAAGGAGAGATGAGTTAAATTCTGTTGTTCTAGAGGCTGGGAGCATAAGCGAGTCTTACTTCCTTCTTGACTCTCAGTCTCTGCAACAGGCGTCTTTCGAAATGTCTCGTCATTCATATGGCCGATATCTCTAGAAACTCTTCTCATACTTGAATCACATTGACGACGCCATGTATTTTGACTGTTTACCGAGTCCAAGCCATGTAGGAACGTCTGCACAAACTTTACAGGGCTAAGGTAGTGTTCTAATAGATTGAACTATGGCTCAACGTACGACATTGCCATGGGCTAGGCCAAAGCCTAATCCGTATTGCTGTAGTAATTAGGTAGAATCATATTGTGTTAAAGAATTGTCCCCATTTCGTTACTAGACAAAGCCCCACACATCCCAAGTCTCTAGTTGGGGAGCTTAGGCATACCTGATTGATCACGACATGCCGATAAGCGATGGCGTAGTTGAACACCGTTGTTCTCGCTCCGTAATTTCGAGCAAATTCTTTGCAAAGACCAATTGCAGAGGGCTTTATGCACTGTTTCAGTGCTATACATGCGTATCTTTGATCTCTTATGGTCGGAGAAGTTGTGGATGTGCAGACGCTGACCTCAAGTAATCTTGAAGTTCTTGCTTTCTTCCCTGATAATACGGCAAAGGAAAGGTAAAAGCAGCAATGTCTTTTCAGCAGGAAAACTTCAAGTTGTAGCATTATTGGACGCCTTTCCAGCCCTGATAGCTGGCTTAATGGGAATGCGGTTATCCGAAATCGGAAAACTGTTTGTGCTGTTGGGGATTGCCCACCGTTATCGGCTCCGCGTCAACATCTTGACGCCGGGAAGCTCTCATCACGTCATGCGGGACCAGCCTCCACCCAGATCTAAGCATCGAAGATTCCTGCAAGTCCATCGAGGCTCGAAAGCAGCGCTTTGATAACTCGCTTTCGCAGAGGAGCGTGCGACGTGCCAGAGTCATCACCCTTCCTCTGGTTTCCAACTTTCATCCTTCTTAGAGACCCCGACATCGATTCGAGTCGACCACCTACCATGGCCGCAATTGCAGTAGACCAAACCCCCAAAACCTCTGTTAGGGGCCCTGAACAAGGATCTCAAATTCACAACGCGTCGCCTCCGCTGCCTTTTGAGGCTTTTGATGTTCCCAGTCAGCAGGACACCGCCGACTTTGGGCTGCCGTGGTCGGCAAGCTTTCCTCTCGGACTTAAAACAAGCAAGACCCTCAATCTCTCCGAAAGCATTCACGCGATCAAAAATTTCGCCCATTCTGGGAATCTGAGCAGTCTGATCAAACAACATGGGGGAGCGATTCTTATTCGTGGCCTCCCGATAGGAACACCTCACGACTATAGCAAGGTCGCGCACGCATTTGGCTTTCGTCCTCATGTAGAGGTTGGGCGTCCGCCACTGCGGACCATTCTGGCTCCTAATGTCAAGACAGCAAACGAGGGGTAAGTAGCAAAGATGCGAACGACTCCCAGCGTCGATCTCTACTCAAATACCCGAGAGCAAAGCGCTGTCTTGTCATTCGACTTCCATAAAGTAAGGTGGGCTGACGTGAAATAGTCCACCAGAACTGCCAATTTGGCCTCATAGCGAATATGGTTGGTCCACAATCAACCCATCGTGGCTGACTTTCAGTGCACTCCAAATTCCAGAATTCGGTATGCTCTGAAGCATAGCATAGCTAGTTACGAGCCTCGGCACTAACCACAAAGCAGGCGGCGCCACACCCATCACCTCAGCTATCTACATTGCTCATAAGTTGTCACGTCTCAAGCCTCAGTTCCTCTCGAACCTTCTGAACAAGGGTGTAAAATACGTCTATCGCTACACAACCAAGCCACTCGTCTCCAACACCGGGACGAGCGTTCGTGGCGCTTACGGTCAGGAGGTCAGAGACGAGGATGACGAAGCCGCGGCCCGACGCAAGATAGAGGCTGAAGTTCGACGCCACAGCAACCGATTCGAGTGGCACGACGACGGTAGCTTGAGCGTGACGCATATTGTCCCCGGTAAGTTATGAAGGAATCCTTCTGCCAGTTCTAGACCAAATGCCTCACTGGGCCACAGACTGACACAATGGCGAAGCCGTTCGCATCCATGATCCTACAGGGGCAACTGTATTCTTCGGCAATGTCACCTCCGCCTGGGGCCGTAGTCGCCATCATGGTGCGACAAGACCTCCCTTCCGGGGCGATGACGGGTCGTATCATCCTCCTCCGACATATGGCGACGATACGCCCATCGATGTTGAGGACTTGGACCTGCTGCTGAAACTCGCGGAAGAGGGTGCCGTAGATGTCGAGTGGCAGAAGGGAGATCTGGTGCTTCTTGATGTGAGTATTTGCCTGTGGGATTTGTGACGCTAGCACGATGTGGCTGACACGAGAGGCGCTCCCCACAGAACTACGCCGTGATGCACTCCCGCAAGCCGTGGAAGGGGCAGCGCCAGGTCCTCGCTGCTCTGTGGGATGATGACGGAAGGATCAGGGATTTTCCAGAAGGCTTGGAATTGTTGAAAGATAGTCCTAGGGTCCCTCGGACAGAGTCTGATGAGAACGAAGGACGTTGATAATCGGCTTTCGAGGCCCTGATTGGTTGAAGAGCGTAGTTTCACGAATATCATCCCCGTGCGTGGATGATCGTGGCCGCGGCGTGACTAGTCAACGAATGGTCAAGCGTACTACCCCGTTCATTTGATATGAAGAGGAAGATCTGGGGCTTCCGCTTGGACGGCATAAAAAGCTCTGCCCAACTTCATTCTCAGAAGGAATTGCGACTTGGACAAATCTCCAGTGGAATTGATTACTTTGTGTTGAAAACGTAGCTCAGACATTGCTCTAACAGACTAAAATTCAAGACGCCTCTTTCTCAATTTTAGGACGGGCAAGTAGCCCTCTTGACCCTCTTTGCGCTAGTCTCTTCGAGCTCCGCCAATCCAAACCAGCCACAAGCGGAATCGAAGAGGGCGTCGAAGCCGTTATAGAACATCCTGCCAGTGTTGATGAAAGGCACGTTGGGTGCCACAGGTGGATCCTCCAGTACGAATCCCAAGGGCTGCATTGTCGCTGGATTGGGCTTACCCGCACCCTGGGCAGTAACGTTGTAAGTCGCAATAGGATTCTTTTCGTTGGGAATGTGAACCACCACAACGGTTCCCTTGGCAGCAACCTGAGGGTGTGTCTTGATAGCCTTGGATGTGACATTCTTGAAGTGCGATCTGACGTCTTTGTTAACCCGAAGGAACGCCTGGGGAATACCAGTGTCGAAAAGAGCTGGGCCATGGTCGTAGGGCGAGTCGTTAACTTTGATGGCCATGTTCACCATGTTCCAGTCGATGGTGGAGTTGGATCCGGATCGGACGTCGAGCTGCGTCTTGCAGAATCCTTCGGTGTTCTCGCTCGTGAGACCAACCTCGACGCCATCTTTGCCCAGAACGTAGCCCTGGTGAATCGTACTCTTCACAGGTCGACCGCCGATAGACGCAATGTTGATCAGAGACACCTTATCAGGCAGGGCATCGGGCTGCTCGCTGCTCCATCTACCGAAGCCGACACCCATGTAGTGGATATCCTTGGGGTACATTGTGATGTTGGACTTCTGCGCTTCCGTGCAGGAGCCCTGGGTCTTCCATGCGCGGCAGATACTGGCTTCGGTGACGATCAGGATAGGAACGGAGGCAACGACATCTTCGCCAATCGTGCGTTCATCCACCATTGCGGGGAAAGTGAGGTTTGCATCGACCCAGTAGCCTTGCCACAGTCTACCACTGGAAGACAGATATTCGTTTCCGGGCTTGGATTTGTCGAACTGTGTTTTCGCGTCGAAACCGAGAACGCCGGCACCGATCATGACGCCGGTGGAACCGGTGTCCATGCCGGCAGACTTGATGGTCACCGGCTTCATTTTAAGTGTCTCCAAGTCTTTGGTCATGACCGTAAATGTAAGTGAGGGCGTGGTGTTGATGTCAGGAAACTTGTTGATGAAGGGGATGAAGGCGGTATTATTCTCCGTAGCCCTAGGGTATACTGGGGGTCCTGTCGCGGGGCATGTTGCCGCCGCGGCCAACTCCAACAGAGCCAAGATGGCTAGAGAGGTAGAGAAGTGCATTTTTTATGATGAAGATGATAGGGATGATGAGCTTGATGGAGAGATGGATAGATGCTGATGCTACGTGGTCCTGGCCGGTATTTAACGAGATTCGATCTGCAAACCTTCAAGTGCAGTAATCTCTCTCGGAAACCTTGAAATATGTCGCATCTAGAATACGTCCATCAGCTATACCGTAGCTGAGGCTCAGCTGAATGTCTAAGAGACTCGTGGCGCCGAGACGAACGAAAACGTGGCGTCCGGTTCCATGGGAAATAGCCAGATCTGGATGGAATTCTAATGGGAAACGCGGTGAGAAGGGTGGTCGGGCCACAAGCCATGTGTGGAATGCCGGAACCGGCGATAGTCGGCGTGGTGTTGGTCTGGGCCTCCACACCTCCGCAAACTATAATGAGACATGGCCTTTGGATCCCCAACCTAAAGCGATGCTAATGTCCATCGGACAAGAAAAGAAAAAGAACTCCTCCGCGGCCGCCCTTGATCTTTGGGATGAAAGCAGCAGCAATCGTATATTATCCTCTCAAGGAGAAAAAGACGTCCCTAGGGCCCTAGGAAATCTTTCGATGCCCACAATCTAGAGCGAGTCTAGCTTCTTTGATTTGCATACCGGAATTAGACTTTATTTCGAGCGAAAATTCCATGCTCCATCAAGGTCCACTGCCTTCGGCGGAATTCGACGCCATTGAAAGTCAATGGCAACCCCGGCGACTTTCTTCCGGCATAACATTAAACAACATCAACCCGTTAGAATACCACAGTCTAGTCATTCAAACCTCTTCAGCCATGCGTCTGCCTTTGTCCATTCCTCAACAAGATGCTTCTGCCGATCCTCACCACGCACTTTGAAGCTGACATCAAAAGCCTTTGGCCCAGTCAGGATCGCATCTTTGAAAGCAGTCTGCATCGAAGTATCCGGCATCGTATCCCCCGCCACGATATCAAAGCACCAAAGTAGCTTGGACATGGTCATCAGCATGCTGTTCTCAGCCATGCGCTGACCGGCGCAGATCCTTCTTCCGGCCCCGAAGCTGTAAGTAGGCCGACGCGATTGATCTTCGGTCGCCGCCTTGGACTCCTGATTGCAAGTTTTGACACCCAGTGGATTCTTCATGAACCGCTCGGGTTCGAAAGTGTCTGGGTCCTCGTACTCGTCTGAATCATGGTTGATAGCCCATATGTTCATGAGAATTGTAGTTTCAGCGGGGATGTTGTAGCCTTTGTAAACATCGTCGCGAGTTGTTGCGTGAGGGATAGCCATGGGGAACCCTGGCCGCCATCTGAGAGTCTTCAGAGCAAGTTAGACCATTGTCCGCTCATGTTTGACGAAAACAAATCGAAAGAGAGACTGACCTCAAGGAAACAAGCCTTGATGTAAGGCAAAATTTCTGCAGTCAGACGTTCAGCACGTATGCCACTCTCGCCAAATACCGCATCTACTTCTGCTTGAGCTCTTTTCTGGATATCAGGATACGCAGCCATTGCCAAAATAAATGTTTCAAAAGCACCAGCGGTCGTGTCCGAGCCTCCTTCCATCAAAAAGCCGGCGATGTACTCGAGATCGAGGTCGCTGTAGCCTTCTTTTTCGTTATCACGCAAAAGCCCTGCTACGAAGCTGTCTTCGGCCTTCCCCTGGCTGATGCGTGCTTTAGCTTCCTCGAATAAGTCGTGATACAATCCGTTCTGTTTCAATTTGAGGTCTGCAGCCCTAACTTTCCAACCTCGCCAAGGCGTCAGGAAATCCGGGACATATTTCAGAAATGGCAGCACATCGAATGGGGGAACAGCCCCCTGATCCAGCATTCCTGCCCACTCCGCTTGGCATTCGAAGAACTTCTTAATCTTACCCTCATCGCTGAAATCCTTTCCGCGGGTGCCAAAGACGCTTGACATGATGATGGCGCCAAAGTAGCGCAAGATATGGTCGTGGTAATGGGCAGGTTTACACAGCAGCTCATGCATCATTTGTGATGATTCAGCGTCTTGCAATAACAAGAGCTTGTCAACCTTTTCGTCCTTCAGGAAGTCTGTGATTGTCTTCCTCTCCTTCCTCCACTTGGGACCATATCGCAAAAAGACGAGATGGATGTCACCGGGCGGGGGTAGCACGTACTCCACGATAGGCACGTACGGCCGGGACGAGTAGAGGGCCCCGCGTTGATCGAGGAGATCGCGCACGGATTGCCAGGTGTTGAGGACGACGGCTTTGTTGCTGGGTCCGAGTGACAGGCCGACGAGGCCGTGCGATCCGTACGTGCGGCTCCATGCTGCGAACTGAATGAATGGTTTCGTCAACGGTATTTGATGGAGGTTACCGAGGAATGGTATGGTAGGAGGTCCTGGAGGAAAGTTGATGTTGGACTTGGGGGCCTGGAGGCGAGGACGTATGAGGAAGAACGCGACAAGTGCGCCTACAACGCTCAGTGCAAGTATCGAGATCGCCATTTTGGAATTCAGGGATAACACAGAGTAAGCCTGCTTCACCGCCATCTAGAAATCACACACTGTTATATAGCCAATTGTTCTTGACCTGACCGCCGCAATCATTATGTCCTCTCACAAATGTGAGCAATCTCATTGGCTCGTAGATGTGAGGATGAGTAACGGCACGCATATGCGTGCGACGCTCTGCTTACGCTGCCCGGCATGGGTTCATCATTTTATTGCTGGAAAATCAAGTCTCAAGCAGTATTGGAGACAGATTGGACATGATCTACCGTATAAAACATAGTGCTAAGTACGAGGTAGGAAAGTCGGATTGTTGCCAGTTCGACCTTACAGCGAGAAGCTCCCGCATTTCATTCGTTGCTGATGTCGAAGACATTCTTCAACGAAAGGACTGCTTTTTTACAGAGCCCTTCATATCTTATCGTTCATATGGGCATGTTTAATCAGATATCGTCTAGCTCTGATCAATCGGCAAGACTTGTAGTTGCCACCAGCGATCTTAATTGCATTGGAAGCGGGTTTGAGAGTTGGTGTCTATGCAAAACATCGCATTAGATGCACTGGCGATAGCCACAGTTCAGACACGACTAGATACGCGTCAATTCACATATCAAGATCAGCAGACATACCATGAAACGAACATACCAAGGCACGGGAACAAATGCCAGAGCTGTTGGCACCGGCATCGGCATCGACATTCGGCTTCCCCAAATCCACCTCACCAAAGACAGAAAGCCACGAGTAAGGTCGGATTGCTCAGGAAGCAGTCTCGAGTGGACCACGGCGGGGTTTATCGCGTAAATACTCCGTACGGTCAAACTGATTCCATCTCGCGACTCCATGTATTCGCAAAACAGTCCCTTCTGAGACTAAGACGATGGCTGCCCCATAGAAAGAGACCGCAGACAGGCGCCACTCGATCGACACATGAAGGGTTCTCCGGGCTGAATATGCTCCGCTTCGCAACCCACCGCACGCCACGCCTAACGCCCTTGACAGTCTGTCAGGTGTACTGTCAGGTCAGAGTAAATGTTGTGTCACCGCGATAACTAACAGGGGTCGCAACTGAACCCTCGGACTTCTCGAGAGAAGCTAAGACCCTGGAGTGGTCAGCACCAAGAGCGAGAAGACGGGATGATGTGCGGACATGGATGGGATGAACACTCCCAAGCTCGCGTCGCATCATCTGTGCGTCCAGGGGGGGGGGGGGTCAGGAAGACGTATGCCTGCACATGTGAAATGCAAGATAACGGATGTTTTTTGCTCCCTGCAGCGGGATCTTGTATGCTTAAGGTTTAGCTGAGACAGAGACAAACATAAGCATATCAAATCTCTTTCAAGTTTCTTCAACGTCGGGACGCACCACCACACGGTGGTCAAGACGCGTCGATCGTGTCTCTGGATTCCAAGACATCATTTAACGATACCCCTTTCAACTCTTTTTCCGACTCAAGACGTCTGAAGGAGGTGGAAATTCCACCAGACTTATCAAATGAAGACCTTTTGTCGAACCCGTAAGGGAATAGGCACCAAAGCCGCATGGACAGTTGGCGTCAATTAGCGCCTCTGGTCCTCAGCAAACAACAGACGCCACTCTTCCGATGTAACCGCTAGCTGTATCATAAGAGGCCGCCGCGTCTCGCAGCCGATTGCGCTAGCTTTCGAGGCCGCCTACCCGCCAGCCGCAGAAAAGAAACTGGCGGGAGCGTTCCTGGGTAATGGGGTAAGAGTCTGTAGCTTTGACCTGAGGAATTCTTGGAGCTGTGCCCTTTTCAGTCTAGAGGAGGCGAGTGAACGACAAGGCTCGGACCTCCTCATCACAGCTAGTGCAATCCTCATATCCGCATTGACCTCGAACCTCTCCCTTCCCCTACGGCCTACGGGTCGAGGGGTGGCTGTCTCTAATACCCTCACTCGCGCAATCGCCTGCGGGCTGAGAGGCTTCTGATCCTACTTGTTGTGTTTTTACCTCTCTCTCACTCCAGTCATTCGTTCGTGATCGGGGCCTACCTTCGTTTGAGGTGCTTCTTTTTCAATTCTGGCTTTTCTTACACAGCTGCATGACAGGAGCATTTGAGACTTCAATCGGGCGTTTGCGGACTGTCGCTTGAAGAAGCAATTGCATATCAACATACGACCTTATAACACACTAGCAAACACCTACACAACAGAACAGCAGGACCTGAATAATAATGCATCATGGTTGATCAAGGAATCCACGGGAGGTGGCACAGCATCGCGGGGAAACTTTTCAACCGGGGCCTAATTGGAGATATCCTCGGCACACCCGGCGCCATCGTCAGCCAAGTATTGTCGTCGCCGGCGACGACAACTCAGGAGAATGTTCAGGCAGAGGGTACACCAGCGGCAGCAGCAACGACACAAGCAGCCGCTGCGCCGGCTGCAACAACAGCTGCCGCCGCTCCTGTAGCTGCGACAACACCGGCTGCACAACAACCAGCTGCATCACCGGCAGCAACGACGAAGCAGGATCAGCAGCAAGCTGCTACAACACCAGTCGCTCAGGCACCAGCAGCGGCAGCGACGACATCACA